GTAAGTTCTTTATTTTTATGCTGAAACTTTCATGACTGTTAACAATTTGACAATGTAAACTATAAATACCTTTAAAATGTTATCTCGCTAAGGAGTGAATTTAACAATTTGGTTACGGGAAAAGTTTTAGGTTATAAAATTTTTAGTTTATTGGAAAATGTGAACCTGATTTTTATATTTAGTTTTTATTATTATTATTATTATTATTTTTCTAGTCAGTTTTTGCATTTTTTAAATTTAAATAAGTTTTTTAATTTTAGATTGTTTATTTGTCTGGCAATAATTACATAATTTGCTTCTTGAAAAAAAGAACTTGTGATTACTTAATTCGCTTCTTTCCTGCTGCATAGGTCATATCAACATTAGCAAAATATTGTTATTCTTATATGTATTTGAGCACTATTTTCGCTTAAATGCTGATATAACTTGCCATTAAAAAATGTTAACCATTTACTCCAAAAACTAGAGTAAAAAGTCAAAGTTATAATGTAACATTTTATACAAAAATTTAAATTATCTTTAATACAGCTTATTATAAGTTTGACAGCCATTTATTTAATTTTATTTGTATTAACAGTTTCAAATTGATGTAGCGTGGAAATTAATGGCTGGTCAATGACCGCCCGAAATGACTAAAATTGACCGGTTGTATAAAACAGAGTTTTGAAAAACATGGTTTGACAAATAAACAGGATTTAATTTGAAAAATGCACATACTAAAGTTTCATAAACACATTATTTTTATTAATTGAACGTTGAATTATCTAGGAGAATTTTGGAAGGAGATCCAAGCGATGACCATATTGTTTCTAACAATTGAACAACCATTGTTGCACTTTCGTCGCTTAATGGTGTTCACAATGTGTATCTGCTTGGGCCACAATCAATACAGTTAAGATACAGCAATGAGTCAATGTGAGTAACATTGCAGGCTACTCTTTCCCAGATTTTGCTGACAGCAAGATTTCTTTTATCCCACGAAATCACATTAGGATCAATTGAATTGCATTCATCACATTCAGCTACAATTTGTTTCACTGTGTCTCTGCTAACGTGGATACCAGCATGCAAGCATAACTTCATACTCTTGGAAACTCCCATGTGTGCTATTAAGTGAACTTTTTTAATCTGCTGATGATCGTGCTTATAGATGATATTACATTCTTGCGTCGCAACTTTGTTTTTTATCCATTTTGTTGACACTTGTGTGAGTTCATCTGCAATATTTTTTGTTGTAGGTAACCATGTAACATTTACACTTATGGCATAATCCTCAACCAATTTTCCAAATATTTGAAACTTTTGTCGAATTAGCATTTCACATTGCCCAGCACTTTTTTTTTCAGTCAATTCAGAATTTAACCAACTGAATACACTATAAGAATCAGTTTTGATAGAGATATCACTTGGGTTCCATTTCAATGCCATATTGAGACCTTCAATACATGCATCCAATTCAGCCACGTTGATATGCATTGCATCAGACTTTGGTCGAAGCCAAGTTGTATCTTCTATTTTTTTTGTCACCTTGCATTATTACAACTTGAACTTGCATCACACCATACAGTTAGAGATGCATTTGGTTTGACATTCCAAACGCCTTTTGCTGGATCGCATTTGATAACTTTATCCACGACTTCCTGCATCATTTCATTTATGCACTTATTTGTAATAGGTTCATCCCAACTTGCTTTGTTTGTACATCTCTTTATATAGCTGCATGTGAGTCTCAACCATCCAGCAACTGGTAAATTAGCAACCAGATTACCACATATTGAGAATATCTCCCTCTTGGTGAGCACATTTTTATTAATTGGAATCTCGTGTCCTCTCTTCAAAACATTTCCTTTGTAGATGGATTTACTGTTACTTCCAATCCTAGAGCACGAACTGGGTTTTTTTCCAAAATATTCAGGTGTTTCCGCAACTTTGTTTTTTATCCATTTTGTTGGCACTCATGTGAGTTCATCTGCGATATTTTTTGTTGTAGGTAACACTCCCAACTTACAATCAATTTTTCATGATCCATTCATTAATTTTGTTGTCGAACGCCTCACGATGTTGGTTGGATACGTTGTACTGACTTGTTCTGTTTTTCATTTTAAGTTCCGTCTCCCACTCCCAACTTACAATCCATTTTTTGCCATCAAAATAAGCTTTGCTTGTTCCAATTTCAATTGTCGCAACACGAGGTGTCGATGATAATTTAATCAGAGAATTACAGAATTTTAATTTTCAAGTGCCAATTTTATTGGTGTATTTAAGAAACAACTTCTTCACATCGAATTATTCTGCCCATTGTTGCAACACTCACTACACAAATTACTTTATAGTCAGACGGTTGTAACTTCTTGGTGATGATTGATTGCGAGCAACCAGTATCTACAAGCGCTGTAACGTTTCTTCCGTTTATTAGCAAGGCGATAGTAGGTAGTATTGTTTCAAGACGAGTTCTTGTAGAAATACCTAATGCGAACTTGTCTCATTTAAGTTTCCCTGGTTTTGTCGATGTTTGTAGCAGTCCTTCGCAGCATGTTCATGCAAGCATTTCTTGCGTAAGGAGGTACACTCACGTGCAAAGTTATTCAATGATTGGCAGTTAATACATCCCATTTCTTTCTGTCTTCGTATATCATTTGGCACTACAGTCCCAGTTGTTCGGTAACTTGCATTTACTTCTTCATTTACAGATAAACATAAAAAAGAAGTCAATTGCCGAATAAATCGCTTTGGCTGTCTATCTTTATATTGCGGAGATAGTCGACACGCCCGGTTAGCTTGTTGTTCAACACATTTAGAAGCCATTTTATTTTTAATATTTTTATTACTTATCAACAATCTCAATGTTTTTACAACAAATTTGTTCACTATGTATAGTATTTAAAAATTCAACTTGTGACTCTTGTCAACAATTAGTGGTTGTTATACAAAATATTATAATAATAAAAATATGCAACCTGTAACTTTTGTCATTAATTAGCAAAGGTAATTATTGACAAATTATTGACGCACATTAAAATCACAACACCTTTTTTTATACTTTTATTATTAATTAGTTATTAACTATACAAAAATCATTTACTTATTAATTTTTATTTTTTGTTATTATTGCTAAGTTTTTATAATATAAAAGGTGCTTATGTAATATCTGATTTGCATCAAATCTGTGTTTAGACAAATTATGTCTTAACTGTATCTTATTGAAACAATCTTGTGATGTTGTTATGTTTAAACAACTTTTTACATTCAGCAATTTGTTAAAAACCAGTTTTAAATTTGGCAGGAGTAACAACTTATAAAATAGAGTTGTTCATTGGAATACAAAAATTCCCCATCTGTATCCTGTTTTACGAAAAATAGAAAAATAAAAGTTCCTTAATAGCAACTTGCAAAAAACAAACATGCAAAACGATTTATTTTAAAAGAACACTTTTGTGTGAGTCCCTTACAAAAGGAGTATTTTGAAAAGTGCAAGTATGGAAAAGACTCAAAAAACATTCATTAAACTGTATAAATAAAAATAAAATATTATTATTAAGTGAAAATAATGTAGTTAAATGATATTTCAATTATTTATACATATATCTTTGGTGTGTGTGTGTGTATATATATATATATATATATATATATATATATATATATATATATATATATATATATATATATATATATATATATATATATATATATATATATATATATAAACAGCATGCAAAATTAACCTCACCACTCGCACTACTTACAATACTACCTTGGCACTCGGCATACGCCAAGGTAGTATTTTTGATAAATTGCCTTGTCAAAAAAGTGCTGAGGTTTTATTTTGGAAATTTTTTGAAAAAGTTTTTTTTTTTTAGTCATTAACTAATATAGATTTGGTATAAAAAGTTATTAAACAACTTTTATAAAGGAAGGCTAGTAAAAAAAGCTACAAGAGAAATCCTTTATAAAACCAAATATACTATTATGTAATAGAAACCATTTTTTATTCAATTTTATTCATGTTATTATAAGAAAGAATATATTAATTAAAAATGAAATAATTTATTAAAAATGCAAAAGTTTAATTTAATTTTTAAAATGTTACAAATGTAATGCAGAATTAATGGTGCTTTTGGAGTCAAGCCCTTAACATTTGTTTGAAGCCAAAAATAACAATAATAAAATTAAAATTTAACTAAAATAAATAATAAACTAAAACGATAAGGTTATTTAAATTACATTTCGAATAAATAACTTTGAATCGTTTATCTTTAATGTTTTTATAATATAATATTATGCGAAACCTTTTTTAAATAAAGTAACAACTTACATCTAAGCATTGTTTAACAAACGCGCACATTTAAAAGTTTAAAAAAAGATACTCAATAATTCTTCGCACATAAAAAAAAATTATTAAATTGTTTATTTAAAAAATTGATATAATTTTTTTTTTTATTTAAAAACATTTATAATAAAAATGAATACCTATATAATATTAGATAAATATATTGTTCATTCATGTTTTTATAAAAAAATCATTAGAAGTGATTTGTTACTTTATTTCCTTTCAATAATATAAAAACATAAGTAAAGATCAAAATTATTTAATTCAAATAGCTTTCAAAAAAGTTTGTCTTTTCCTTATTCTCAACAAAAACTTAAGTGATTCTTATATAAAGTTTATTAAAGGGTCCTTTGCCATTTTTAAGTCCTCGCTTTTAAAATTTGATTTTTATTTTTTAAATTTTTACTTTTTTTATTTTTACTATTAGCTACTTTATTTAAAAGCTTTTTTTAAAATGAGTAATGGGGGGGAGGGTAAAGTGTCATAAACGATAAAAGAAAGGTCCTCAATTTTAAACATATGCCATGGGCTATTCTAGACCGTTTTCGACAGCGTCGACCGTATTTGGGCACCAAATTGGGTGTCACCCAAATTAAAATTTGAGGTCTTTTTTTTTTTTTTAACGTTTTTTACTGAAAATATTATTTTTGTGAAAAAATTGCCAATTTTCTGC